TCAAGCAATTCTCCTGCCTGAGGCTCCAGAAGAGCTGGAACTACAGGTGTGTGCCACCACATCCAGCTAATTTTTTTTTTTTTTTTGAGACAGAGTTTCGCTCTTGTTACTCAGGCCAGAGTGCAATGGCGCGATCTCGGCTCACCGCAACCTCCACCTCCTGGATTCAGGCAATTCTCCTGCCTCAGCCTCCTGAGTAGTTGGGACTACAGGCACGCGCCACCATGCCCAGCTAATTTTTTGTATTTTTAGTAGAGACGGGGTTTCCCCATGTTGACCAGGATGGTCTCGATCTCTTGACCTTGTGATCCACCTGCCTCGGCCTCCTAAAGTGCTGGAATTACAAGCTTGAGCCACCGCGCCCGGCCTTGTTTTTTTTTTTTTAATAGAGGCAAGGTTTCACTATGTTGGTCTTGAACTCCTGGTCTCAAGTGGTCCGTCTGCCTTGGCCTCTCAAAGTGCTGGGATTACAGGCGTGAGCTGCCTCACTCAGCCCTTCTGTTTAAAGGGAATCATCCCAGCAACTGCTTTGGGGTTTGTGAGAAGCAGATGAAGCAGTTGTTGAAAATCAGGAGGCACTTAAGTAAGGTGAAATCCCAACTCCATATGACATTCTTTTGCAAAAGCCTTGCTGGGTCCCCTCATTCCCCTCACTCATGCAGACCTCTGTAAGACCTTGGTGAGGAGCTGGGAACAGCTGCCACCTGCTGTCCTGGAAGCAGGCAGGAACCCACAGGTGACAGTATGAGCAAGGGTAAAAGATCTTGGCCAGAGCACAAGAGATGTGGGGTCTGAGCCTGCTCTGGCAGGATAGAGCATAGACGGTCATGGGAACTCTTCCCTTTGACGCAGCATTCTGTCTCTAGGGATTTATCACACGGATAATCTTGCGAAAGTGCATAAACACTTCAGAAGGCTATTTACTGCAGCGTGGATTATGATTAGCAGAAGACTGGAAAAAAAGACCAAGTGGCCAATAGGAGGTGATTTAATTAAACAAACTATGATGCACCTGAACAATGGAATGCTCTGTGCTCTTACAAGAAACGAGGCCCATCTAGATGTGCTGAAACAGGCTGATATATGAGACAAATTATTAGTGAAAAGTGCAAGGTAAGAACAGTGGCTGGTATACTCACATTTGTGGGGGGTGCTAAAAAGAGGTATTTGTGTGTATTCATGCAAGCATCTTTTGCTATCTAAATCTATTTGGTTTCTGAATTCAGATATCTAGGGTTCAGAAAGCAAGGAATGCTGCATTACTGGAATCTTTGACTCCTACATTTCATTTCAGATATCAAATAGCAAGAGTTGGATAGGCTGGGCGCAGTGGCTCACGCCTGTAATCCCAGCACTTTGGGAGGCCCAGGCAGGTGGATCACTTGAGGCCAGGAGTTCAAGACTAGCCTGGCCAACAAGGTGAAACCCTGTCTCAAAAAAAAAGAGTTGGCTAGCAAAATAGTTGATCCAAGAGGTGGTCTGAATCCATTTGGTTTTCTCCATTGGGATAATGTCTGGATAACTAGAGTAGACAGTAGAGACATCTGTATATGTATAATTCTCACACCTATGTATATGTGGACTCTCTGGGAAGACACATAAGAAATTGGTTAGTAATAATTGTTGCTACAGGGAGTAACTGAGCCCTGAGGGGACAAGGTGGAAGGGAAACTTGTGTTCTCCGTTTTCTTTTTTTTTTTTTTTTTGAGATGGAGTCTTATCTCCCAGGCTAGAGTGCAGTGGCGCAATCTCAGTTCACTGCAACCTCCACCTCCTGGGTTCAAGCGATTCTCCTGCCTCGCCATGTGAGTGCATATCTCAAAAGTTCAGTCCCAGGCCAGGTGCGGTGGCTCATGCCCATAATCCCAGAACTTTGGGAGGCCAAGGCGGATGGATCACCTGAGGTCATGAGTGTGGGATCAGCCTGTCCAACATGGTGAAACTCTCGTCGCTACTAATCACACAAAAATTAGCTGGGCATGGTGGCACCTGCCTGTAATCTCAGCTACTTGGGAGGCTGAGGCAGGAGAATCTCTGGAACCCAGGAGGTGGAGGTTGCAATAAGCCGAGATTCTGCCATTGCACTTCAACCTGGGCAACAAGAGTGAAACTCCATCTCTAAAAAAAAAAAACAAAAAAGTTCCTTCCCAGTCAAACATTCAAATGACATTTTTTCCAGCTGCCATGTGACTACAACAACACCTGAGACCCCAGGTGAGAACCACCCATCTGAAACGGGTCAACACATACAACCATGAGGGATCATAACACAGTGTTGTTTTAAGCCACTACACCCTGGTGTGTATTTGTGTATGTGACGATAACTGGAACATTTATATTACCACATGCATTACTTATTCAAAATTCAGAGTATCTTCCTTGTAAACATACAAGAGATGATGCTGAATGTTAAATGCACAATATCTATTTTATTCCTCACAGGGTACTGCCATTATCTCTGTTTTATAGATGAGAAAACAGGGGCTCAGAGAGGTTCTTCTACTTGTCCAAAGGCACACAGCTCATAAGAAGCATCCCTGCAATATGAAACCAAAAGGCTTCTCAGCTCCAGGGCTGCCATTCATGAGTCCCCACTCAAGAACTTGCCCACTGTAAACCTGACTTTCCTTAGTGAGGGGTTTGGAGTACATGAGGGGTAGAAAACTGGTCAGTAACACAAAGGGGTAAAGTGGGCACAGTGGGCTCTGTCTGGAGCAGTTTGAACTTAGCTCAGGGAAAGTTCTGCCCAGAGTTGCCAGATTTTAAATGTTTTTTTTTTTGAGATGGAGTCTTGTGATCTCTGCTCACCGTAACCTCTGCCTCCAGGGTTCAAGCGATTCTCCTGCCTCAGCCTCCCAAGTAGCTATTACAGGTGCCCACCACCAAGTCCAGCTAAGTTTTCGTATTTAGTAGAGACCAGGTTTCACAACATTGGTCAGGCTGATCTCAAACTCCTGACCTCAGATGATCTGCCTGCCTCAGCCTCCCAAAATGCTGGGATTACAGGCATGAACCACTGTTCATGTGCCCAGCCTTTCTTTCTTTTTTTTCTTTTTTTTTTTTTGAGACGGAGTTTCGCTCTTGTTACCCAGGCTGGAGTGCAATGGCACGATCTCGGCTCACCACAACCTCTGCCTCCGGGGTTCAGGCAATTCTCCTGCCTCAGCCTCCTGAGTAGCTGGGATTACAGGCACGTGCCACCATGCCCAGCTAATTTCTGTATTTTTAGTAGAGACGGGGTTTCACCATGTTGACCAGGATGGTCTCAATCTGTTGACCTTGTGATCCACCCGCCTCGGCCTCCCAAAGTGCTGGGATTATAGGCTTGAGCCACCGCGCCCGGCCTTTTTTTTTTTAGACAGGGTCTCACTCTGTCACCCAGGCTAGAGTGCAGTGGCACGATCTCAGCTTACTGTAACCTCAACCTCCTGGGCTCAAGTGATCCTCCCACCTTACCTTTCTGACTAGCTGGGACCACAGACACGCACCACCACACCTAGCTAAGTTTTCCATTTTTTGTAGAGACAGGGTCTTGCTATGTTCCTCAGGCTGGTGTCAAACTACTGGGCTCAAGCAATCCACCTGCTTCAGCCTCTCAAAGTGTTGGGATTACAAGCATGAGCCACTGTCCCTGGCCAGATCGTTGGAATTTTTTTTTCTTTTCTTTAAAGATAGGGTTTCACCATGTTGCCCAGGCTGGTCTCGAACTCTGAGCTCAGGCAATCCACTCCCTTCGGCCTCCAAAAGTGCTGGAATTACAGACGTGAGCCACCGTGCCCGGCCTTGATCTTTGGAATTTTTAAGAGAAACCAGAAATCAGATTTTTTTTTCCAGAAATCAGATTTTTATGTGCAATCTATTTCTGTTTAAATGTTGGCAACTAATTCTTTTTTTCTTTTCTCTTTTAACTGTGCAGACTGAGAAGCAAAACAAAAACAAAAGCAAGGGCTGCTGATCTGTCTCTGGACTAGCAGATCTCTAAGGAGTCTTCGGCTCGACATCTTGACTTTCACCAGAGTCTCTGGGGAGACAACATAAATGCCACTCCCAAGAGGTGGAGATGGGAAAAAGGAGAGGGCAGTGGGGAAGATGGAGGTGCCCAGCTTCCCCTCACCAAGCCCCTCCAGAGGTATTTGGGGAATCTGGGTTGATGGGAAGCCAGGCCACAGGGTGCTAGAGAGGTGCGGGAGAGCAGCTGGGCCTGCGATAAATCAGCCGCCATAACCTGTCCGCTTTCCCAGACTCATTCTGCTCCCTGGGGTGCGGGGAGCTGGCAGGGCACCAGGGGAGGCTGAATTTCCTTTGCAATGGGACCCCCCCCCCCCTGCCTGCCGCCCCCGCCCACATCAGCCATTTTCTCCACCTCTCCTTTCTCACTGCTCTTCCAATGGAAACCCTGCCCTCCCTTCTTCCCCCAATCGACCCTTCTTAGCTGAGGGGGAATTGATCCAGATCTTGCCTGTCTTTCTGGACCTCCCCTCCCTCCCCCTCAGTGGCTTCGATTCCCTCCTGAGCCTGCGGCCCATTCCGTCTTCAGCAGACTTGTCTTCCTGTGAGATCCAGCCTGGCAGAGAGCAGCCGCGTGATTGATGAGCTAAGACGCTTGGCTGGCAGGCAGGTGGCAGCCAGCCAGAGACAAGGCTCTCACAAGATAGCAGAGCTGCCCCAGGAGGGGCCGCAGCTACCAGGATGCGATGCTCCCTGGGGATGCTCCCTTAGCTCCCCCCATGCCTGGGTTGGTGGTGGCGGCACTCTGGGCAAAGCAGGTAGCCAAAAGGGTCACTGGTTCAGTACCTGATGCATGGCGGTCCCTCAGTGAATGAGTGCTCTCTTCTTTCCCTACTCCAAAACAGAGCCCAAGGAGATTAACACTGAACTTCTTAAAGCTGGAAATGTCTATCATTCAGTCATGCCACTCAGTCCAGGTGTTTATAATTTGCCCATTCATTCATTCATGTGTGCAGCATGAAGGTTTGCTGTGAGGATCAGCACTCCATTGTCACTGAGAGTATGGTCTTGGGAGGCAGGCTGGTTTGAATCCAGGCTCCATTTCCGCCTAGCTGCATGATGCTGGGCAGGTCACTTCACCTGCCAAAGCCGCAACTTCTCTCAAGGTTGCCACTGCAAGATTCAGCCAGATAATACATGTAAACTGCTTAGAACAGAACCTAGCATAGAAAAGAGATCAAAAAATTCATTCATTCAATGACTGATAGCTGAAGACCTACATTGGCACAGGTTCTGGGCCATGGTCACCAACAAGGCAGATATGATCTCTGATCTCAAGCACTTCACCTTTGAGAGAGGAAAGACTGAGACTTAAAACTGAATGAAAAAACAAGGACATCCTAGGGCAAGCTAAGAGGGTGTAAAATGGCAAGGGGTGATGGGGAGGGGGCAGTCATCATGAAGGCCCCTTCAAGGAGGGGACTTGGGAGCTGAATTTGGACGAGGAAGGGTCTGTCAGGTGAAAACCTGGGGAAACAGCATTCTAGCTAGAGGAAATAGCACATGTTCCCAGAGGCAGGAATAAACCTTGGAATATGTAAGAATCAGAAAAAGAGAACAGAGACCAGTGTGGAGGAGCAAAAGGAAGGGGAGAAGATAGATGAGCTTGGAGACACAAACAAGCCAGATCAGCTAGAGCTTGCAGGCAGGCATAAAGGTTTTGTTTTAAGCACAGTGGAAAGTGACTATGCTTTTGTTTTTGTTTGCCTTTCAGTCTGCATAGTTAAAAAAAAAAAAAAGGAATTAATTGCCAACATTTTAGGTGCTGGAGCAGTCTGATGGAGGAAATAGGAGAGAGAGCAGCTTCCATGGTGGCTTGGGCTCCGGTGGTGGCCATAGCAGATTCTGGAGGGTTTGAGAGGCACAGGGACAGGTCTTTCCCTGGGTACCTGGGAGGAGGGCAATCACAATCAAGGTGACCGTTCTATTATCTCATTGGAGCCTCCTGATGAATGCCGGTGTAGGCCATGTACTGAGGTAGGGAAGCCTGGAGAGACAGTGTGGATAATGGTGATTTTGCTTTATGCAGTTGAGTTGAGAATAGAGGGTACAATGCTTATGGGAGGTGATCTCTGTCCTCAAGAATCTGAGGTCCAGCTGGGGAGTCAGAGAAATGAGCAGGCAATGATAATCCAGTGTGACAGCCGCTGTGACAGGGAGGGAAAGGGGGCTCGGTGTCCAGGGGAAGACCTACGCAAATATGGGAGTGCTGGCTTCCTGCTCTTGCCTCTTCTCCAGCCTCCTCTGCTCCAGCCACACTGGTCTTTCCATTCTTCTAAGAAGCCATATCCTTCCTGTCTCCCAGCTGTGCACATGCTGCTGCCTCCTCCCAGAGTTCTCCTACCCCACCTATCTCAGCCCTTGTTTCTGTCCCTCCCATGTTCATCCTAACTTAAATTCCCTTTTTCTTTTCTTGTATTTTTTTTTTTTTGAGATAGGGTCTTGCTCTGTTGCCCAGGCTCAAGTGCAGTGGTGCGATCTTGGCTCACTGCAACCTCCGCCTCCCAGGTTCAAGAGATTCTTCTGCTTCAGCCTCCAGAGTAGCTGGGATCTGCCACCATGCCCCGCTAGTTTTTGTACCTTTGTAGAGAAGGGGTTTCACGATGTTGGCCAGACTGGGCTTGAACTCCTGACCTCAAATGATTCCCCCTGCCCTCACCTTGGCCTTTCAAAGTGCTGGGATTACAGGCTTGAAACAAAGCGCCTGACCTCCTTTTCTTTTCTTTTGTTTTTTTTTTTTTGAAACAGAGTTTTGCTCTTGTTGCCCAGGCTGGAATACGATGGCACGATCTCGGCTCATACAATCTCTGCCTCCACGGTTCAAGCGATTCTCCTGCCTCAGCCTCCCAAGTAGCTGGGATTACAGGAATGTACCACCATGCCCGGCTAATTTTGTATTTTCAGTAGAGATGGGGTTTCTCCATGTTGGCCAGGCTGGTCTTGAACTCCTGACCTCAGGTGATCTACCTGCTTTGGCCTCCTGAAGTACTGAGATTACAGGCGTGAGCCACTGTGCCCAGCCAACCTCCTTTTCTTAAATGAAATTGTTTAATTGACTGTCTTTTCCTATAAAAATCTGTAAACTGCTGTCTTTTCCCATAAAAATCTGATATGTGCCTGTACTCCCAGCTACTCAGTTGTCTGAGTCAGGAGGCTCACATGATCCCAGGAATTCAAGTCTAGTTTGGGCAACATAGCAAGACCCACTCTCTTATTTATTTATTTACTTTTGAAATGGAGTTTTGCTCTTGTTGCCCAGGCTGGAGTGCAGTGGTGAGATCTCGGCTCACTGCAATCTCCACCTCCCAGGTTCAAGCGATTCTCCTGCCTCAGCCTTTCAAGTAGCTGGGACTACAGGCGCCCGTCACCATGCCTGGCTAATTTTTGTATTTGTAGTAGAGATGGAGTTTCACCATATTGGCCAGGCTGGTCTCAAAATCCTGACCCCATGATCTGCACATCTTGGCCACCCAAAGTGGTGGGATTACAGGCATAAGCCACTGTGTCTGGTCTGGTTTTTGTTTCTCTTATTTTATTTTTATGTTTTCTTGAGACCAAGTCTTGCTCTATTGACCAGGCTGGAGTGCAATGGTGCAATCTGGGATCACTGCAACCCACACCTCCTAGGTTCAAGCAATTCTCCTGCCTCAGCTTCCCAAGTAGCTGGAATTACAGGTGGGTGCAACCCTGCCTGGCTAATTGTTGTATTTTTAGTAGAGACAGGGTTTCACCATGTTGACCAGGCTGGTCTCCAACTCATGACCTCAGGTGATCTGTCTGCCTCAGCCTTCCAAAGTGCTAGGATTACAGGTGTGAGTCCCCTGTGCCAAGACCCTCTCTCTTAAAAAAAATGGGAGGGGGTTCGGGTGCAATGGCTCATGCCTGTAATCCTAGCACTTTGTGGGGTGGGCAGATCATGAGGTCAGGAGTTTGAGATCAGTCTGACCAACATGGTAAAACCCCATCTCTACTTAAAATACAAAAGTAGTCAGGCGTGGTGGCGCTCGCCTGTAATCCCAGCTACTCGAGAGACTGAGGCAGGAGAATTGCTTGAACCCAGGAGGCAGAGGTTGCAGTGAGCCGAGATCTCACTGTTGAACTCCAGTCTGGGCAAGGCTCTGTCTCAGAAAAAAAAAAAAAAAAAGAAAGAAAGAAAAAGAAAAAGAAAAAAACCAAAAATCTTTGAGCTTCTAGAAAACAGGGACAGAGTGTATCTCGTTCACTCTTAGATACCAATCCCACAGCTTGGCATAAGGTAAGTGTTCTCTTGGTGTGAATTGAATGAACGAATGCATGAATGAATGAAGGTGAGGCTTGAAAAGTAAACTGAGAGGTAAGACAATGCCAGGCATAGGTAATGGCCTGTACAAAGGCCAAAAGTCAAAAGAAAATGGTATAGTCAGAGAACTGAAAGGACTGAAAGATGTGAAAACGTCTTTATCTTTTCTGGGCTCTTAGCCAGGCACACAGGAGATCTTTAGGAAGTGTAGAAGACTTCCCTCTATTTCTACCTCTGTTTTGTGAATAGAAAAATAGAAGCAGGGCCGGGCACAGTGGCTCACCCCTGTAATCCCAGCACTTTGGGAGGCTGAGGTGAGTGGATCGCTTAAGCACAGGAGTTTAAGATCAGCCTGGGCAATATAATGAAACCACGTCGCTACAAAAACTATAAAAATCAGCCAAGTAGGCTGGGCCATGTTGGCTCACACCTGTAATCCCAGCACTTTGGGAGGCCAAGGCAGGTGGATCATGAGGTCAGGAGTTCCAGACCAGCCTGGCCAACATGGTGAAACCCCGTCTCTCCTAAAAATACAAAAATTAGCCAGGCGTGGTGGTACACGCCTGTGGTCCCATAGTCCCAGCTACTCGGGAGGCTGAGGCAGGAGAATCGCTTGAACCTGGGAGGCAGAGGTTGCAATGAGCTGAGGTTGCACCACTGCATTCCAACCTGGGTGACAGAGCAAAGCTACATGTCAAAAAAAAAAAAAAATCAGCCAAGTGTGGTGGTGTGTGTTCAAACCACTGCACACCAGTCTGGGTGACAAAGTGAGACCCTGTCTCAAAAAGAAAAAGAAAAATAGTAGCAGGATGAGATGGTGCCTGAGAGTTCCTAGGACAAGAACTGTGCCTCATTCACCCTTGATTCTCAGTGCCTAATGTATGCTGGCACATAGTTCTGAAATTGAATGATGCTGAAAAGACATTCAGCTCTCAGGTGCAAAAGCAATGCTGTTCGATAATTCCAGAATGTCAGCTCCAGCAAGTACTTCATAGCCCAACTTCCCTCATGTTACAAATGATGAAACCGAGCTCCAGAGTGGGGAGCGGATTTGCTCACTGACCGCAAGTCAGTGGCAGAGTTGGGACGGGAGCTCAGATATCCCGACTGTTGGTTCAGATCCTCTGCCACTCTGTCTGACTGTCTGTCAATCCATCTCCTTTCCCTTCCTGTCCTCTGATTTTCAAGATGTCAGAAACCAGCAGATTGGGCTGGGCATAGTGGCTCATGCCTGTAATCGCAGCACTTTGGGAGGCCAAGGCAGGTGGGTCACCTGAGGTCAGGTGTTCGAGACCAGCTTGGCCAAGAGGGTCTCTACTAAAAATACAAAAATTAGTCAGGCTGGTGGTAGGCAACTCAAGCGTAATCCCAGGTACTTCGGAGGCTGAGGCAGGAGAATCTCTTGAACCCAGGAGGTGGAGGTTGCAGTGAGCCGAGATCACGCTGAAGTATTTGGATCGAGTATAAAATTAGCACCAAGACAAAAGTATGCCAAATTGCGGGGTCTTTATTGCTGGCGACCACGGAGGACTCACGTCTTTCCAACCCATGGCCCCGAAAGGAGGGTGACAAGACCCTTTTATGCCCGTAAGCCACCTCCGGGGTGAGGGTGTGGGGCGGGGGTGGGGGTGAAGGGATTCAGACATTCTGAGGGCCAGGGGATTCTGTAAATCACCACCCAGGCAGAGAGGAGGGTGCGGGTCTCCAGACATTCCAAGGACTAGGAGACTTGTTGTTACTTCAATTGTTACCTAAGAGGTTTACAGAAGTCAAGATAAGGGTTAGTTTACACATCCTCTGGGCAGTGGTGGAATCCACAGATCTTAGTTACTTATTACAAGTCGAAGGGGCCAGGATGGAATTAGCTTGGGCTGCTTATTCTGGTCATTACTGGTAAGCAAAGGCCAGCAATTTGGGCAGTTACTGATAAAAAAGGTAAGCAGCTTTACATAGTGGGCATTTTACAGAGCAAGCTAGCAGTTTTATTTACAGAAGCCAAGGCCAGCAGTTATTGTGAGGAGAATGGGGCAGCCGTTACAACTTATTTCTGAAAAACAGCTTTGTCTTGTATAAAATGGTGTTGTTCAGCCTCTAACTCTAGGCCAGCTATAGCACAACGCCATTGCACTCCAGCCTGGGTGACAGAGTGAGACTCGGTCTCAAAAAAAAAAAGAAAAATAAAAAAAGAAACCAGCAGATTGGAGCCCAACAGGAAATCCCCGAATGCCTTTTAGTAGGGTGAAGGCATTAGGTTACAGGGCAGGCAGATGGGGAGACCCATTAGTGAACTAACACTGAGTTCCTGTATGTTCCATTAGTGACTCCAATTGACCCATTAGCACCCACTGAAAGCCGGAAGAGCAGGGACCAGGGACTACAGAGGGGATGAGTCACTGAGTAAATCAGCTTTGATGAGATTTAGGGAGCAGAGTTGGAGAGACAGAAAGGGGTCTTTACTCTTTCCTTGGAAAGTGGGCTCAAAAGCAGAAAGATTGTGCCTGGCAGATAAGGACCAGGTACGACTCAGAATCATTGAATTTGAGACCTCCAGAGAGCCCAGTGAACTGACCCACTGTCCAGATGAAAAAACTAAGCATCTGAGAGAGGGAATTTATCTCTGAGTCACTCATGGAGAATCCAGGTTTCCTGCCTGTCACACTACATTATGGGACTCAAGTGAGCCTTAGGAACGACAGCCAAAACTACAGCCACTGTGCTAACTGCTTTACAAACATTATTTCATTTTTTTCTCATAGCAACCCCAGGAGATAGGTATGATCAGCCCGATTTACAAAGCATAACTGTCATCTGCTGTGCAGCAGAGTCACCTCTTGACAAATACTGTCTGCGGAGCCCTCCAAGGGCATGCTTTTTATAGCAAACACTTCACTTCAAGGTAATATTATCATCCTATTTCACAGGTGGAAAACCCAAGGCACAGTAAGGCCAAGTGACCTGCCTCATGTCACATACATAAATATTGTGAGAAACTCCTGATTGTTTGGGTGCAAGGCTAAAGCTTCCAGCCTATCCAATATATGAATGTGGTGAACACCACCCCCACATTCCACGCTATGACAGCTGTGTCATGTGCCACCTCCATGCTTGGCATCCAGAATGATTCATCCACTTATTCATCCGTTCATTCACTAATGCAACACACATAATCTTGAGCGCCCTCTGTGTGCCAGACCCCTGCTTACAAGACCAATGTAACTTACCTTCTACTTGGGGACAGGACAGACAAGCAATTCCAGTAAGGTGGAGGTGAACATTGGATTAACATCCAATGTTAATCTAGATGTTATGATCTAGACCTAGGGGGCAGAGAAGGCCAAGTTGACCCTTACAGGACTAGTAAGTGTAGTCCAGGCAAAGAGTGGAGCCAGGACCAGCTATGCAGAGGTCCCAGAGGCCTAGAGGAGCACCCAAGCAGCACCGCAGGGAAGGGAGGGATGAGAGGTGGAACTGCAGATTCCAGAAGTGGCTGGAGTTTGGGGTGTAGCCATGAGACAAATGGGAACCACTGCAGGGCATGAGGCACGGCAGCATAGATTTGCATATAGAAAGCTTGGGGTCTAGAGGAAGGGTGCAGTGGGGAGGGAGTAGGTGCCTGGAGGCTGGTTTCATGGAGCTTCCAGAGATAAGGAGGGCCTCTGATGTTTGATTAGATCTGGGAGTGAGAGGTATGAGGAGGTACGGTTTCTATTCTGTTTTTTTCTTTTCTTTTCTTTTTGACAGAGTTTTGCTCTGTCAGCCAGGCTGGAGTGCAATGGGGTGATCTTGGCTCACTGCAATCTCCGCCTCCCAGATTCAAGCAATTCTCCTGCCTCAGCCTCCCAAGTAGCTGGGATTATAGACACCCACCACCACGTCTGGCTAATTTTTGTATTTTTAGTAGAGACAGGGTTTCACCATGTTGGTCAGGCTGCTCTCGAACCCCTGACCTCAGGTGATCCACCCACCTTGGCGTCCCAAAGTGTTGGGATTACAGGTGTGAGCCACCATGCCCTGCCCCTCCCCTCCCCTCCCCTCCTCGTTTTTTCCTCTCTCTCTTTTTTTTATATCACAAACGCTTTATTTAAAGGTCCATCTCAATTTACATGTGGCAGCACAAAATAAAGGACGAGATTGTGACACACCATTTCCATCTCAAGTGGTCGAATCTTACATCCAAAACCCAGCGAGACTCAGCGCAACCTCCGGGCCTCCAACAGGGTCAGCATGTCGCCCTTGCACACGGGGCCTTTTACATTGTGGATGATGGAGCAGCTCCTGTAGTCCATAAATTCCACGTGTACCTGCGTGCATTGTCCCTGAGAACCGGTCCTGCCCAGGACCTTGGTGACCCTGGCCAACTTGACAGGCTGCACACGGCTGGTATCCATGATGGTGGCTCAGCAGTGGTCTGGTGGAGAGGAGAGCTCTTTTTTTTTTTGGCAGAGTCTCACTCTTTTGCCAGGTTGGAGTGCAGTGGTGTGATGATCTTGGCTCACTGCAACCTCCACCTCCCGGGTTCAAGCGATTCTTCTGCCTCAGCCTCCCAAGTAGCTGGGACTTCAGGCATGTGCCACCACACCCAACTAATTTTTGTTTTTTTAATAGAGATGGGGTTTCACCATGTTGTCCAGGATGGTCTCGATCTCTTGACCTCGTGATCCGTCAGCCTTGGCCTCCCAAAGTGCCGGGATTACAGGTGTGAGCCACTGCACCTGGCTGGCTGACTTCCTTCTTTCCTTCCTTCCTTCCTTCCTTCCTTCCTTCCTTCCTTCCTTCCTTCCTTCCTTCCTTCCTTTCTTCCTTCCTTCCTTCCTTCCTCTCTCTTTACTTTCTTATTTCTTTTTTTTGAGACAGGGGTCAGGGGAGTCTCATTTTGTCACTCAGGCTGGAGTGTAATAGCACAATCAGCTCAACACAGCCTCAAATTCCTGGGCTCCAGCAATCCTCCTGACTCAGCCTTCCAAGTAGGTGGGGCCATGGTTGCGTGCCATCATGCCTGGCTAATTCTTTTGTAGAGATGGGGGTCTTGCTATCTTGTCCAGGCTGGCCGTGAACTCCTGATTTAAAGAGATCTTCCAACTTTGGGCTCCCAAAGTGCTGGGATTACAGGAGTAAGCCATGGTGCCTGGCTGTGGGAGGCCTGGTTTCTGACTGGCATGACAGGCACATGGTGAGCGAAGGCTGAGGATGAGACCCCAGCAAGAGAAGTCTGGGGAACAGAGGTAAGTTCTGTTTTAGACTCAGTGAGCATGAGAGGCCTGAGGGTGTCCCAGTACCTAGATTTCAGGCCATTCTCTACAGAACTTGAAAGTTTTGGTAGAAAATTGACTCCTGATCTTACTTCTCTGTACCTCAGCTTCCTCATCTGTAAAATTACCTATCTCAGAGTTGTTGAGGTCATACGAATATAAAATATATATAATCAAGTGTTACTAAACAATTGGTATTCTGAGAAATGAGTTATCAGGCCATTTCTTTGCTCCTAGACCAAAAACCTGTAGAGTATCTTATTGTACTGAATACTGTAGGCAATTGGAACATAATGGTAAGTATTCGTGTATCTAAACATATCTAAATAAAGAAAAAGTATAGTAAAAATACATCATACATGTAATGCCAGCACTTCCGGAGGCGTGTGGATCACCTGAGGTTAGGAGTTCGAAACCAGCTTGGCCAACATGTGAAAAGCCATGTCTACTAAAAATACAAAAAATTAGCTGGGCATGGTGGTTGGACCCCTGTAATCCCAGCAGTTGAGAGACTGAAGCAGGTGAATCACTTGAACCCAGGAGGCAGAGGTTTCAGTGAGCCAAGATCATGCCATTGCACTCCAGCCTGGGCAACAAGAGCGAACCTCTGTCTCAAAAAAAAAAGGACTGAGGCCGGGCCCAGTGGCTCACGCCTGTAATCCCAGCACTTTGGGAGGCCGAGGCGGGTGGATCATAAGGTCAAGAGATCAAGACCATCTTAGTCAACATGGTGAAACCCCGTCTCTACTAAAGATACAAAAAATTAGCTGGGCATGGTGGCGCGTGCCTACAATCCCAGCTACTCGGGAGGCTGAGGCAGGAGAATTTCCTGAACCCAGGAGGCGGAGGTTGCGGTGAGCCGAGATTGCGCCATTGCACTCCAGCCTGGGTACCAAGAGCGAAACTCTGTCTCAAAAAAAAAAAAAAAAAAAGGATTGAAAAATGGTACACCTGTATAGGGCGTTTATCACTAATGGAGCGTGCAGGACTGGAAGCTGCTCTGGGTGAGTCAGTGGGTGAGTGGTGAGTGAATGAGGACTAGGACATCACTGTATACTACTGTAGACTTTATAAATACTATACACTTAGGTTACAATAAATTTAAATTTATAAAAAATATTTTTCTTCATAACAAGTTAACTTTAGCTTATCGTATAAAGTTTTTCTTTCTTTTTCTTTTTCGTTTTTTTTTTTTTTTTTTTCTGTTTTTTGAGACAAGGTCTTGCTTTATTGCCCAGGCTGGATCATCAACCACAGCAGCCTCCACCTACTGGGCTCAAGTGATCCTCCCACCTCAGCCTCCCGAATAGCTGAAACTACTCAGCACACCACCATGCCTGGCTAAATTTTGTATTTTTTGTAGGGATGAGGTTTTGCCATATTCTCCAGGCTGGTCTTAAACTCATGAGCTCAGGCCTCCCAAAGTGCTGGGACTACAGGGGTGAGCCACTGCGCCTGGCCCTATTGTAGCTTTTTTGCTTTACAAACTTTTTTCTTTTTTGAGATGAGGAGTCTCACTCTGTTGCCCAGGCTCACTGCAACCTCTGCCTTCAGGTTCAAGTGGTTCTCCTGCCTCAGCCTCCCGAGTAGCTGGATTTACAGGCATGAGCCACCACACCCGGCTAATTTTTGTATTCTTGGTAGAGATGGGGTTTCATCGCGCTGGCCAGGCTGCTCTTGAACACCTGCCCTCAGATGATCCACCCACCTTGGCCTCTGACAGTGCTGATATTACAGGTGTGAGCCACCATGGCCGGCCAACTTTACAAACGTTTTAATTTTTTAAAACTTTCTTTTATAACAACACAGCTTAAAACACAAACACGTAGCACAGTTGTACAGAAGTATTTTCTTTCTGTGTATCCTAATTCTGTAAGCTTTTTTCTATTTTTAAAATTATTTATTTTTTTAATTAATTTTTTTTTTTTTTGAAATGGAGTTTCACTGTTGTTACCCAGACTGGAGTGCAATGGCACGATCTCGGCTCACCGCAACCTCTGCCTTCTGGGTTCAAGCAATTCTCCTGCCTCAGCCTCCCGAGTAGCTGGGACTACAGGCGAGCACCACCATGCCCACCTAATTTTTGTATTTTTAGTAGAGACGGGGTTTCACCTCGTTGACCAGGATGGTCTCAACCTCTTGACCTCGTGATCTGCCCGCCTCGGCCTCCCAAAGTGCTGGGATTATAGGCGTGAGCCACTGCGCCAGGCTTTACTTTTTTAATTTTTAAACTTTTAATTTTTTTTTTTTTTTTTTTGCCAATCAGTTTGAGCTTATGAGGTTGCTCAGGTTAGCCTTGAACTGATGACCTCGCCTTTGTGAGCACCATGACCTCCTGCGGGAGCCACTTTGGACCCCTATTTTTTTTTTTTAAACTTTTTATTTAAAAACTAAGACAAAAACATCCAGGCATGGTCAGGATCCTACACAGAGTGAGGATCATCCACATCACTGTTTTCCAGCTCCACATCTTGTCCTCCTAGAAGGTCTACAGGGGCAGAAACACATAGGGAGCTGCATCTCCTATGACAACAGTGCCTTCCTCTGTAATTCCTCCTGAAGGACCTGCTAAAGGTTGATTGACAGTTAACTTTTTGGTATCTATAAATAGAAAGAGTACACTCTAAAATAATGATAAGGTCCGGGCACGGTGGCTCATGCCTGTAATTTCAGCACTTTAGGAGGCTGAGGCGGATGGATCACTTGATGTCAGGAGTTCAAGACCAGCCTGGCCAACATGGTGAAACCCTGTCTCTACTAAAAACATAAAAATTAGCCAGACATGATGGCAGGCACCTGTAATCCCAGCTACTCGGGAGTCTGAGGCAGGAGAATTGCTTGAACCCAAGAGGCGGAGGTTGCAGTGAGCCAAGATCGTGCCATTCCACTCCAACCTGGGTGACAGAGTTAGACTCGGTCTCAGAAAATAAATAAAAATTAAAAATATAAATAAATAAAATATGATATAAAATATAGTATAGTAAATATATAAATCACTAACATAGTCCTTTATTATCATTCTCAAGTATTATGTACTTGATAAGAGTTTTTCAGCTCCATGGTTTTTTGTTGTTGTTGTTGTTTTTTAAGACAGAGTTTCACTGTTGTTACCCAGACTGGAGTACAATGGCACGATCTTGGATAACCGCACCCTCCGCCTTCTGGATTCAAGCAATTCTCCTGCCTCAGCCTCCCGAGTAGCTGGGACTACAGGCGCGCACCACCATGCCCAGCTAATTTTTGTATTTTTAGTAGAGACGGGGTTTCACCTTGTTGACCAGGATGGTCTTGATCTCTTGACCTCGTGATCCACCCGCCTTGGCCTCCCAAAGTGCTGGGATTACAGGCTTTAGCCACTGCACCCGGTCTTGTTTTTTTTTTTTAAATTTATTTATTTATTTTATATTTATTTATTTATTTATTTATTTATTTTTGAGACGGAGTTTCACTCTTGTTACCCAGGCTGGAGTGCAATGGCGCGATCTCAGCTCACCGCAACCTCCGCTTCCTGGGTTCAGGCAATTCTCCTGCCTCAGCCTCCTGAGTAGCTGGGATTACAGCCATGCGCCCCATGCCCAGCTAATTTTTTGTATTTTTTTAGTAGAGATGGGGTTTCAACATGTTGACCAAGATGGTCTTGATCTCTTGACCTTGTGATCCACCCGCCTCAGCCTCCCAAAGTGCTGGGATTACAGGCTTGAGCCACCGCACCCAGCCTTTTTTTTTTTTTTTTTTAAAGACAGGGTTTCACCATGTTGGTCAGGCTGGTCTTGAACTCCCGACCTCAGGTGATCTGTGTGCCTTGGCCTCCAAAGTGCTTGAATTACAGGCGTGATTTTTTTTTTTTTTTTTTTTGAGACAAAGTTTCACTCTTGTTGCCCAGGCTGGAGTGCAATGATGTGATCTCGATTTACTGCAATTTCTGCCCCATGAGTTAAAGTGATTTTTCTGCCTCATCTCCTCAAGTAGCTGGGATTACAGGTGTCTGCTACTATGCCTGGCTAATTTTTGTATTTTTAGTAGAGATGGGATTTCTCCATGTTGGTCAGGCTGATTTTGAACTCTTGACCTCAGGTGATCCGCCTGCCTTGGCCTCCCAAACTGCTGGAATTACAGGCATGAGCCACCACGCCCGGCCTATATGTGCTCCTATATGTGCTCTTTTTTTTTTTTTTCTTTTTTTTGAGACAGAGTCTTCCTCTTGTCACCAGGGCTGGAGTGCAATGGCATAATTTCAGCTCACTGCAACCTCTGCCTCCTGGGTTCAAGCGATTCTCCTGTCTCAGCTTCCCAAGTAGCTGAGATTACAAGTGCCTGCTATCATGCCTGCCTAATATTTGTATTTTTTGTAGAGACAGGGTTTTACCGTATTGGCCAGGTTGGTCTTGAACTTCTGACCTCGTGATCTGCCCACCTCAGTCTCCCAAAGTTCTGGGATTACAGGCTTGAGCCACCGCTTCTGGCCTATACATGCTCTTAAATGTCTCGGCATGGGATGGAATCGCCTAGGAGAAGAGCATTAACAAGGAAGAGAAGCAGTTCCATGACCACACCTGGGGGAGCACATTGCATTTTCTTGCCAAGTAGAGGAGGAACCTGTGAAGGAGACTGAGAAGCAGCAGACAGTGAGGCAGGAGGAAAACCAGGACATTTTTGTGAAAGAGCAAAAGCTTTGCAAGAAAGGAAGAAGTAATACAAAACTAGTACTACTGGATGAGTCTTGGTAGGGAGAACTATCTGAGGACAGACTCGGCTGGAAGGGAGGGGGACGAAGGACAGTGGACTCGGGGCCCAGATGAAGTGGAAGACATGCGGGAGGAAGGAGAAAATGAATGGCAGGAGGAAGAAGTGCTGGTCAAAGAGAACCGCTGACCTTGGGATTTCAGAGGAGGTGTGATGCTAGGATGGGAGTCAGGGATATGACTGTGGAAGAAGGGCCGAGGTGGGTGGAGGGGACAATTGATTGTAGGGGCTAAGAAATGAGGCTAAAGGTCAGGGGGTCCTGCAGGTGGAGGCTGAAGTGGTGGTGACAGGAATACAGATGAAGACAGCTGTGAGCCACCTCTGACCAGTGAGGGCCGCCTCCAAGAAGCTGGCAAGAGAGAGGAACAAGAGGAGTTGTGGGCAGGAGTGAAAGACTGATGTAAATAAATTGATGTAATAAATACCACCGGTGGGTACAGGCGGTAACGTGTTTGGAAGAAGGAAGAGCTGGGCGTGGTGGCTCACGCCTGTAATCCCAGCACTTTGGGAGGCCGAGGAGGGAAGATCACTTGAGCTCGGGAGTTTGAGACCAGTTTGCGCAACACGGTGAGATCCCGTCTCTACTGAAAACATAAAAGCTTAGCTGGGCGTGGTGGCGCCACTACTTGGGAGCCAGCTACTTGGGAGGCTGAGGTGGGAGCTAAGTCACAGGGTGGGGCGTTGGGGGTGGGGTGGGAGTTGCAGTGAACCACTGCACTCTAACCTGAGTGATAGAGTGAACAAAAAAATGAATTGCAAGAGAGTTGTAGCAGGGCAAGCTGCACAGGAAACCTCCCAGACACCGGATTTAAAGACGGAAGTGGCTTTATTCTGCCAGGAGCATCAGCAGACTTGTGTCTCAAGAATCGAGCTTCCCGACTGAGACAACCCGAGCCCTTTTAAAGGCTGCACAATTCTAGAGACTACCTGTGAGAGGGTTGTGATAGATGGAAGTAGGCGAGGGGTACATGACCAGGTGGGGGCTTGAGCAAGATTGAGCGAGAACAATGGAGGGCGTTTCTCCCTGTTACGCCTGTGATCTATAGACAGGAGTGCCATTAAGTGTGGGGGGTTTAATCTTTAACATCCAGGTCTGGTCGGAGGCGCCAGCCAACCTTGCCACTGACCTCATGCCTGCTATGTTTCAACTTTTACTTCCTCCTCCTTTGAGACAAGAGACAGGAAAGAGGGGTCTCTTTCCTCAAGTGACCTGACCTCCCTGGCCTTGATCTACAGGGTGTGTGAGAAAATTGAAAACAGCTTCCCTTGACTCTCCTGGTTGCACTGTAGTCCCAGCTACTCAGGAGAAAGAGGCTGGAGGCTCCCTTGAGCCCAGGAGGCTGGGTAGAGCCCGTAGCGAGCTATGATTGCTTTACTGCACTCCAGCCTGGGTGACAGCAAGACCCTGTCTCCAACAACAACAGCAACCGCAAAACAGCATACCTTGAAGGCACTAGAAGAGGGGCACAGGGTCCTGGAGGGAAGGGAGTCAGCACGTAGGTGAAGGGACTGTACAGGGAAGAGGGGAGACGCCAGTACTTACGCTTGAGGAACCAACTGCACAGGGTGAGGGTTGGGGGGGTCATGAAAGAGTGGGGAACCTTGGGAAACAGAAAACTCAAGTCAGATCAGGAGTGGTGCCCTGACTTGGGGGAGCAAGGGTGCAGGTGATGGAAGCTGGGCACTGTGGGAAGCTTGGGCCTGTGGGCTGAAGGGTCTACCCTTTCCACCAACAGTTCCTCTCCAGCACCTGTTCTGAGCTGCGCCCTTAAAACTATTTGCTTTTTTTTTTTTTTTAAACGGGGTTTCACCATGTTGGTCAGGCTGGTCTTGAACTCCGGACCTCAGGTGATCGGCCCACCTTGGCCTCCAAAGTGCTTGGATTACAGGCGTGTGCCACCACGCCTGGCCTGCTTTTTTTTTTTTTGAGACGGAGTTTCACTCTTGTTGCCCAGGCTGGAGTGCAATGGCACAATGGGCTCACCACAACCTCTGCCTCCCGGGTTCAAGCAATTCTCCTGCCTCAGCCTCCTGAGTATCTGGGATTACAGGCATGTACCACCATGCCCAGCTAATTTTGTATTTTTTGTAGAGACGGGGTTTCTCCATGTTGGCCAGGCTGGTCTCGAACTCCCAACCTCAGGTGATCCGCCTGTCTCTGCCTCCCTACGTGCTGGAATTGCCTGGCCTGTAATTATTTTTATTTCTCCGGGCTACAAGAGAGGGAATCTTCTGCATTTCTATGGGGCAGCCCTCCCAGTTCACCCGGGAGAAAAGCAGGCAGGGGCCGAGCTAGGATTCCAACGGGGCGGGAAGCCCTGGCGGAGGTGGGTTGGCTGAAGCCAAGCACCCCAGGAATGCCCTCCCGGTCTCTCCTCCCGATTCCTTATCAGCTAGAAGCTCGAGTTTCTCCAGCCACAAGCGATCAAATGCTGCTTCAGGGCTTTAGGAAACCGGGTGTGTCTTCTGCGCTTTGTCAAAAAAAGAAAAGAAAAGAGCATTAGCAAATCCCCAGGCCAGGTAGCCGGCTGGCTGAGCGCGGTCCCGCCTTGAAACTCGGCGGCGGGGGGTGGGGAGCGGGAAAGGGACTCGGGTCGGGATGGGGGCCCTTGGCTCCAAAGGCAAAGCTGCGTGCGGCGCAGAGCTGGGAGCGGGAACTGCAGGGAGGCCACTCCGGAGGCGCCTCCTCTTTCTCGCTGGGAGAGGCGGCCGCTGCGCAGCGCCCGGCCTGCACCAACCCTCCGGGCCCCGTGGAAGGGAGGAGGCCTCAGGCCCCGAGGTGTCACCCTCGGGACCCCCGGCTTTGGCCTGCTTCTTCCCACAGAGAGAGAGGCAGTGCCGGGACCCGGCTGGGTGGCTTTGGGCAGATTACCTCCTGTCTCTGGGCCTCAGATTTTCTCATCTAAAAAGAGGGGCTAGACTCATTTCTCCAAGGTCCCTCCGGGTTGGAGCGGTTCCCTGCAATGCCCTTCCTTCTCTGGCTTTGGAACTCTTCCCTCCCCCATCGCCTTTGGGTGGATCCTGGGTTATCTGGGTGATGTTTTTCCAGTCTGCCTCCTGCAGTGAGAATGCTGCCCTGCCGCGGTGATTTACAGCAGGGCTCTGCACGCTTTTACTTTTTTGCTTTTCTTTATTTTCCCTCCTTCCTTCCTATTTACATCTAGAGTACACACTGGAATCACCCTTTTCCTGTAAAGGGTCAGGGAATAAATACTTTGGGCTTTGCAGGCCACGTGCCCTGTCACAGCTATTCAACTCCGTCATTGTAGCCAAGGCAGCCCTGGGTGAGACGTAAATGAATGGGCATGATGTGTTTCCATGAAGCTTTGTTTATAGCGGCTGACATTTGGATTCTCACGGGTCAAGAAATCGTATTTTGGGCCGGGCGCAGTGGCTCATGCCTATAATCCCAGCACTTTGGGAGGCCGAGGCGGGTGGATCACGAGGTCAAGAGATCGAGACCATCCCGGCCAACAAGGTGAAACCCCGTCTCCACTAAAAATACAAAAATTAGCTGGGCACAGTGGTGCACGCCTATAGTCCCAGCTACTCGGGAGGCTGAGGCAGGAGAATTATTTGAACCCAGGAGGCGGAGGTTTCGGTGAGCTGAGATAGTGCCATTGCACTCCAGTCTGGGTAACAACAGCGAAACTCCATCTCAAAAAAAAAAAAAGAAGAGAAATTGTATTTTATTTATTTGAGACAAAGTTTAGTTGTTGTTGCCCAGGCTGGAGTGCAATGGTGCAATCTCAGCTCACTGCAACCTCCGCCTCCCAGGTTCAAGTAATTGTCCTGCCTCAGCCTCCCAAGTAACTGGGATTACAGATGCCCACCACCACGTCCAGCTATTTTTTGTTTTTTTGAGACAGGGTCTCACTCTGTCACCCAGACTGGATTGCAGTGGCCACCGTGCCCGGGCTGTGTCTCAGTTTTATAGAAGAGAAAACTGAGGCATGAGATTAAGTGAGAAATGAAACCTAGACCTGCTTGACCCCAACATTGAGCTCTTTCCACTGAGAATAGCTTCTGAGTAACCAATTGTACAGACCCTAAGTCTAGGAGGCTTTGAGGACTCCTCCTTTCCCATAACCCATGTCCAGTATACTGGCAAGTTGTTTTGATTTATCCCTGAAAATATATCCTGAATCTATTTCAGGGCTAGAGGGAAACCATAGCATGGTTTGGAAGTTATTGTGGTCTTTTAAAAATGCAAATCAAGGCCGGGCACAGTGGTTCACACCTGTAATCCCAGAACTTTGGGAGTCTGAGGCAGGTGGATCACCTGAGGTCCAGAGTTTGAGACCAACCTGACCAACATGGAGAAACCCTGTCTCTACTAAAAACACAAAAATTAGCCGAGCGTGGTGGCGCATGCCTGTAATTCCAGCTACTTGGGAGGCTGAGGGAGGAGAACAGCTTGAACCCAGGAGTCAGAGGCAAATCAGATCATGCCCCATCTCTGCCTAGAACCTTGGAATATTTCCTAGTTTACCTGAAATAAAACCCCAAACCTGGCAGGGCATGATGGCTCATACCAGTAATCTCAGCACTTTGGGAGGCTGAGGCCGGTGAATCACCTGAGGCAGGAGTTTTCGACCAGCCTGGCCAACATAGTGAAACCCTATCTCTACTAAAAATACAAAAAATTGGCCAGGTGTGGTGGCGGGCATCTGTAATCCCAGCTACTTGGGAGGCTGAGGCAAGAAAATCACTGGAACCTGGGAGGTGATTGCAGTGAGCCGAGATTGCGCCATTGCACTCCAGCCTGGGCAACAAGAGTGAAACTCCATCTCAGAAAAAACAAAAACAAAACAAAGCAAAAACCCCACCCACAAGGCTCTGTGCTAACTAGCCCCTGCTCATCTCTCTACTGTTTTCCCCTCTCCCCTCATTCCTTTTGCTTCAGCTTCAATGGCATTCTTTCTGTTTCTCTTTTTCTCTTTTTTTTTTTTCTTTTTTGAGACAGAGTTTCGCTGTTGTTACCCAGACTGGAGTGCAATGGCACGATCTCGGCTCACCGCAACCTCTGCCTTCTGGGTTCAAATAATTCTCCTGCCTCAGCCTCCCGAGTAGCTGGGACTACAGGCGCGCACCACCATGCCCAGCTAATTTTTGTATTTTTAGTAGAGACGGGGTTTTACCTTATTGACCAGGATGGTCTCGATCTCTTGACCTCGTGATCCACCTGCCTCAGCCTCCCAAAATGCTGGGATTATAGGTGTGAACCACTGCGCCCGGCCTCTCTTTTTCTTTATTAAAAAATTTTTTTTAATTTGAGATGGGGTCTCACTATATTGCCGAGCCTGGTCTTCAACTCCTAGGCTCAAGCAGTTCCTCCTGCCTTGAACTCTCAAAGCACTTTCTATTTCTTTAACTTGCCAGGGAGCCAAGTCTCCTTTCTGTCACGTGACTCCTTGGACTTTCCTGCCAGTCTTCACAAGGGTAAAGGCCCCAGTGACGTCTCCTCAGTCAGCCTTCCCTGGCAGCCCCCACTAGTCCTCTTTTTCTTTTTCTTGTTCTTTTTTTTGAGGCAGAGTCATGCTCTGTAGCCCAGGCTGGAGTGCAGTGGCACGATCTTGGCTTATGGCAACCTCCGCCTCCCGGGTTCAAGTGATTCTCCTGCCTCATCCTCCTGAGTAGCTGGGATTACAGGCAGGTGCCATCATGCCTAGCTAATTTTTGTATTTTTAGTAGAGACAGGGTTTCACCATGTTGGTCATGCTGGTCTTGAACTCCTGACCTCATGATCCACCCGCCTCAGCCTCCCAAAGTGTTGGGATTACAGGCATGAGCCACCGTGCCCAGCCCCCCCCCCCTTTTTTGAGATGAAATCTTGATCTGTTGCCCAGGCTGGAGTGCAGTGGCATGATCCTGGCTCACTGCAACCTCCTCCCAGGTTCAAGTGATTCTCCTCCTCATCCTCCTGAGTAGCTGGGATTATAGGTGCCTGCCACCATGCCTGGTTAATTTTTATATTTTTAGTAGAGGCGGGATTTAATCATGTTGGTCAGGCTGGTCTTTAACTCCAGACCTCATGATCCACCGGCTGGTCTTTAACTCCAGACCTCATGATCCACCTGCCTTGGCCTCCCAAAGTGCTGGGATTACAGGTGTGAGCCACTGCACCTGTCCTGGTCCTTGTTTTCTAAATTAAACTTTTTAGAGATAGGGTCTTGCTATGTTGCTGAGGCTAGTCTTGAACTCTTGGGTTCAAGCAATCCTCCTTCTTCATCCTTCCAAGTGGCTGAGATTACAGGCTCAAACCACCATGCCTGGCCTCACCAGTCTTTTATCCCTCACCCTGTTTTCTCCTGTTTCAGCAGTCATCCCTATCTGACATTTTTCTGCACACACTGTGTCTTCCTCGGTGCAAGATTAGCTCCATTCCTGCAGAAATCTTGCGTGTTTATTCTCCATTCAGTCCCCAGGCTTAGCCCATGTCTGGAACATAATAAGTGCTCAATATTTGTCTGATGAATTAAGGGCCCATTAGGCCTGGATCCCCTCTCTACTGGAGATCATGAACTTGCAAAAGAATCATCCAATACAGATTGGGCTCTACTATGCCTCTGGCACCGAGCCAGACAGCAGGGCAGCCTCAGAGACATAGGCTCAGTCCCAGCTGAGAAGCTCACTGGCCCACGGGGCAGAGATGATATGCATGCACAGTAAAGCCGGGCAAGGCGCATGTGCCCAGGTTCTACTGAAAAGCCGTCTGGGGTCAGAGGGTAGCTGAAGAGAATGCCAATGTGGCTCCTGTATCCTATAAGAAATCCCACGCTGGGCTTGGTTGCTCATGCCTGTAATTCCAGTGCTTTGGGAGGCTGAGGTGGGAGGATCACTTGAAGTCAGGAGCTTGAGACCAGCCTGAGCAACATAGTGAGACCCTGTCTCTACAAAAAATAAAAAATAAGCCAGGCATGGTGGCTCATACCTGGAATCCCAACTACTTGGGAAGCTGAGGCAGGAGGATTGCTTGAGCCTGGGAGGTTGAGGCTGCAGTGAGCCATGTTGCACCACTGTACTCCAGACTCGGCAATGGAGCAAGACCCTGTCTCAAAAAGAAAAAAAGAAAAAGGCTGGCTGCGGTGGCTCAAGCCTGTAATCCCAGCACTTTGGGAGGCAGAGGCGGGTGGATCATGAGGTCAAGAGATCGAGACCATCCTAGTCAACATGGTGAAACCCCGTCTCTACTAAAAATACAAAAAATTAGCTGGGCATGGTGGCATGTGCCTGTAGTCCCAGCTACTCAGGAGGCTGAGGCAGGAGAATTGCCTGAACCCAGGAGGTGGAGGTTGCAGTGAGCCGAGATCGCATCATTGCACTCCAGCCTGGGTAACAAGAGCGAAATTCTTGTCTCAAAAAAGAAAAGAAAAAGAAAAGGCCAGGTGCTGTGGCTCATGCCTGTAATCCCAGCCCTTTGGGAGGCTGAGGTAGCCAAACCACGAGGTCAGGAGATGGAGACCATCCTGGCTAACACAGTGAAACCCTGTCTCTACTGAAAAATACAAAAAATTATCTGGGCGTGGTGGCATGCACCTGTAGTCTCAGCTACTCGGGAGGCTGAGGCAGGAGAATTGCTTGAACCGGGGAGGTGTAGGCAGAGGTTGCAGTGAACTAAGATCGCACCACTGCACTCTAGCCTGGGCGATGACAAAGCAAGACTCTGTCACACACACACAAAAATAAATAAATAAAAGAAATCCCCATTCCTTTTCTTTGGCAGAGCTAGGCCTCTCACTAGGGACTCCCCCTGTGTGTGGGAACCCCCTCCACTGCACTCCAGCTCTCCCAGGCTTTTTATGCCTTCTTTCACTCCAGTTTTCACCTCTTTTCCTCCACGCCTTTCCTGACACCTGATGTCTCACCTTGATGGCAGTCCCTTTAGATCTCAGTCCTGATGCTGACCACTGCTCTGGCGGCCGGTTTCCCTGCCTGTACCTCCATGTTCCCCACTCCCTGCTCATCCCATCGGTCTATTTGTTCCTGGAAAGCAGGGCCTTGACTAGCACCCAGCGTGGTGCTCAGTACATAGCAGGAACTCAAGGGATATTTGTTGTCTGAATGAACAAGTACACAGAAAGAAAATTTCCTGGGAAGGCAGAATTTAATCTCCTTCCTGGCTAGGTACGGTAGCTCACGCCTGTAATCCCGGCACTTTCGGAGGCTGAGGCAGGCGGATCACTTCAGGTCAGGAGTTCAAGACCAGTCTGGCCAACATGGTGAAACCCTGTGTCTACTAAAAATGCAAATGTTAGCCGAGCTTGGTCGTGGGCCCCTGTAGTCCCAGCTACTTGGGAGGCTGAGGCAGGAGAATCGCTTGAACCTGGGAGGTGGAGGCTGCAGTGAGCTGAGATCAAGCCATTGCATTCCAGGCTGGGCAGCGGAGTGAGACTCTGTCTCAGGAAAAAAAAAAAAGGAACTTAATTTCCTTTCTGAGGCCAGCACAAGGGGTTGAGAACAAGAGCCCCTCCACTTGGTCCTAGTCCATTCTCAGTATATTCACTGCTGGCCTGGAAACCTCCTCATTCAGGGGTTCTACTGCCAATCCTCAAACTTCCCTCTCTCTCTTTTTTTGAGACAGGGACATGCTCTGTCCCCCAGGTTGAAGTACATTAGCACGATTACAGCTCACTGCAACCACAACTTCCCAGGCTTAAGCGATCTGCCCCATCTCAGCCTCCCAAGTAGCTGGGTCTACAGTCACGTGCCACCCTACCCGGATAATTTTTGGTAGAGACAGGGTTTTGCCATGTTACTGGTCTGGAACTCCTGAGCTTGCCTCAGCCTCCTAAAGTGCTGGGATTACAGGTGTGAACCAGCACAGCTGGCTAATTTTTCCTTTATTATTATTTTTCTTAGGTCCTTGAAGGTTTATACTGCAAGAAGTCCACAAGGTATAGAGCAACGAGGTTCCCTGTTTCTCTTCCCCAGAGGGAGCTGCTGCATGCTTTCCGTGTGCTGTCTTCCACTTTGCTGAATGTTCACTTCAGGGAGGCCTGCAGTCTGCAGCACACTTGGGACCCAAGGGCACCACTCCCTGTTGGAACAGAGGGGTCAGTTCTGGCATCAGTGGCGTCACTCTGTAGCTGGGTCCAGACGGAGGGGACATGGGCCAGGAGGATTTGTTCCAGGCTGGAAGATGCCCAAGCACAGGGCAGCTGGAGAAGCCCATGCAGAGAGAGCAGACAGTGCTCCCAGTCTTCTTTTACAGGGTCTCCACTGGTCCTCATGGTCAAACCACCAAGATGCCAGGTGGCTTGATGATGGCTGGGGGCAGCTCTGACACTCAGTGGGGAAGGGTCTCACTTCACGGTGAGGCCTGGAGAGGGACATCCCCTATCTGACTCACTCTGCCAGTTCTAGCCCAAACCTTTCCCAAGAGGATTGAGAGGGCGGTGAAAACCTCAACTACAGCCCCTCTGCCCAAGCATGAATCTGGGTTAACATTAGGTAAAGATGAGCAATAGGAGGCCTCAAACAGGAAACCTGATGGGGCTCTGGGGAGAGAGGCTCTAGGGTTGGGGAGGTTTTCCTGGGGGAATAGTGTATATAGGAGCCTCAGGTCTTGTGAGGTTTTTTGGAAGAGGGTTGGCAGCTTCATATCTGAGTCACTGCTAAGTTGCAAGGAGTGGGGAGTGTCAAGATATCTACTAGTCCAATTCAATTTTCCTTCTTTTTCTTTCTTTCTTTTAATATAAAGACGGGGTTTCACCATTCGGTCAGGCTGGTCTTGAACTCCTGACCTCCGGTGATCCTCCCACCTTGGCCTCCAAAGTTCTTGGATTACAGGCGTGTGCCACCACGCCTGGCCTCAATTTTCTATTTCCCATATCTTAGGACTGGGAAGGCTGATGTTGGCCACTCACAGCCACTCCCATCTGCTTTTCTGCTCCAGACCTTAATTTTTTTTTTTTTTTTGAGACGGAGTCTCTCTGTCACCAGGCTGGAGTGCAGTGGTGTGATCTTGGCTCACTGCAACCTCCACCTCCCAGATTCAAGCAATTCTCCTGCCTCAGCCTCCCTAGAAGCTGGGACTACAGGTGCGAGCCACCACGCCCAGCTATTTTTTTTTTGTATTTTTAGTAGAGATGGGTTTTCACCATGTTGGTCAGGATGGTCTCGATCTCTTGACCTTGTGATTGGCCTGCCTCGGCCTCCCAAAGTGCTAGGATTATAGGCGTGAGCCCTCGAGCCCGGCCCAGACCTTATTAAGCTATTGTGACACCTTGTCTGCTAAGCAATGCATGTCTGCAATGGGAGAAATCCCATTTGCCACCCTTCCCTAAAGCAGCTCTGCCTTACCTCAACAAGCCCCACAGAGAAGCCTGCGGGAGTGGCCTTCCCTAGAGTTTTGCAGTGCACAACCTGTGCAGCCCTCTGCAGGCATGCTGCCAGGCTAGACAGATGGCTTCGGAGACTCCTTAGAGAGGGTAGAGATGGGTGGGCCTAAGGGGTTTCATACCCCCCCACACTGCTTCACCCTAGGCACTTCTGCATTCTCTCTTTCACACATTGGATTTACATAAGACTTCACTTGAGACAATGTGTGCCATTGCTAATGACAGTGACACAGCCTGTGAAAACCCCTTCAGTAGAGAGAGTCCAGTTAAACCACAGGCTTACAGTCTGAATCCCAGCTCTGCCTCTGACTGCCTGCGTGATCTTGGGTGAATAATACTGTGTACCTCACAGTATGCCTGAGAAGACCAATCAAGATAGTGCAGGGACAGTGTGGCTGCTGTAGTGATAGTGGGACCACAGGAAGAGGACAGTCCCTTCCAGCTCTGCTGGCAGACCCTGCGGGGGCTCTCAGCGGCAGCACTGTCGGCGCCAATCGTTCTTTGTCATGGGGGCTTTCCTGTGCATGCCTGGTCTCCACCCACTCCCTGCCAGCCCCGCCCCCTCCTCAGTTATGGCAGCCAACAATGTTTCCAGACATTGCCAAATGTCCCAGGAAGACAAAGTCGCCTCCAGTTGAGAACCATGAGTCTGGAGAGAAATGCTGCAGGAAGCGAGAGGGTGAGGCATTGGGAGCTGGAAGGAATGTGGAAAGCAGGGATGTCACCCTCCCCTTGCTCCGGAAACTCCTCAGTCAGCTCCTCGGCTCTGTCCCTGGAGACCGCTTGTCTCTGCTGGAGGCTTCCTCCTGATAAGGCTGCTTCGTGTGCGCGCGCGCGCGCGCGCGCGTGTGTGTGTGTGTGTGTGTGTGTATGTGTGTGTGTGTGTGAGAGAGAGAGAGTGAGAGAGAGAGGAGCAGGAGGTGGGGGAAGGAGCTGGAGAGAGAAGGGAGAGGGAGAGAAGAAGGGGGAAGAGAGGATGGGGAGAGAGATTGCAGAAGATGGAAGGAGAGAGCTAGAAGGCTGAAAATACCTCTGGCCCCAGGTCCCTAGTTTTTGCACAGACCCAAGATAAAGCCCTGGTGACCTGGGGACCTCTGGCAGCATAGTCTGGGGTCCTTCGCCCCCTCCTCTTAGTGGCCTGAGGGGCACGGTTTGGGCCATTTAGGAAGGGGATAAAGGGGGAAGAGGGAGGCACCCAGCCTTTGCTCTCCCTGTCCCCTCCAGACAATATCCCAGCAGGTTTGCCTTTTGTGCCTCTAAAATCCACCAGGGTCAGATTCCTGCCCTCCCCATCAGCCGCCACCTCTTTGTTTCTGCGGTTACTACCTCCCTAGTCTCCCTGCTTCCATGCTCCCTCTTCCTATCATGTATTTTCCAGGAAGCAGATGAAATGACATGAAAACTGCAAATTGGATCATGCCATCCCCATGCCTAAAGCCCTGTAATGGTCCCCTCAGCCCTCAAAATCAAAGCCAGATTCCTAGCCACAGGCTTCAAGTGTTCATGGTCCCCAGTGCAAGGTTCTTTGAACTGGCTGGTCACTGGCCATGGCCACCCCAGTGACCAACACGCACACCTCTGGATGGCCTCTGGACTTGGAAAATCTGAAGAAACTGGAAGACCATGAAAAGAGGAAGAATGATCAAACCCTGCAGGGCATAATTAACTTGAGACAGTCTTCTATTGGTCCTCATTCCCACCTCAATTGATAAGGCAGTTGGACTCTAACCGACCTTGATCAACCTAGTGACTCCAGACCCTATGACCCCTCCCAGCTTGCAAAAACTGCCTTGAACTGTAACTTCTGTAACTTTCCACTGCCCACCCCAAACCTATAAAACCAACGCCTGTCCCACCACCCTGCACTGACTCTGTTTTCCGACTCAGCCCACCTGCACCCAGGTGAATAAACAGCCATGTTGCTCACACAAAGCCTGTTAAGGGGGTCTCTTCATTCAGAGCACATGTTTAACACCCAGGCCCCCTTTTTCACTCACCACCAAGCTCCTACCACACAGTCCTTCATTCTGTTCCTTCAATGTGCTAAGATTGCCTGCATCATCCCCCTAGCTTTTTACCAACTGTGCAATTTACCTAAAATTCCTCTGCCTGCTCTTCTCAGCCCCGTGTCCTAAGCATTAAGGTGTCCACAAAGATTCCTTTCTCAGGCACGCCTTCCCTGCCCACCCCATCTGAAAATGACCTCCTCAAATACTGGCCCATCACCCTGCTGTTCTTTGCAGTGCTTTTGACCCCACACATTATCTTAATTCCTGGAGGGCAGGGACCTCACCTGTCTCTTCTGTTTTTCCAGGGCCCATGTGCCTGGCACACAGTGAGGGGTCAATAAAATGGATTGAAAAGACAAATGAAAGAATGATGAGATGGTCTCCGGCCCCTCCCAGCGTGCTGGCTCTGTGTCTCCTTGCAGACCTTGCACCTCTGGCTCCAGGGAGCTCACAGGCCGGTCCAGCCCAGAGGCAAGGAAGACAGTGCTGATGATGGTGGTGGTGGTGGCGCTGCAGGTGCTGACCCAGGTAGCCCCGTGAAGCTGGAAAGAAGTCATTTGAGACAAATGAAAGGATGTCCCAGGTCACAGTGGGGAACACTTTGTGGGGAACTTGTTCACCTTTCTCTGTGATGCTAATAACTTAAGACTTGTCATGGCTTCAAAGCCCTTTTCCTCCTTTCGGCTGTCTCTCTGTGACTGTCTTTGTGAGAGTCTCATTGCTGCTGTTACTAAGCTGATGAACGCTTAGGGTAGTGGCAGGTTCACCCACCCCTAGAGGTGATGGCGGTGGGAGGAGGGCAGCACCTGGTCCCCTGGGCTCAGCCTCTCCTGCGCCACCCCGGGCCGGGCCAAGTCGGCCACCAGAGGGCGCTCCAGGTCGCGGCATCTTCCCGGCTCCTTGGCAGCCTGGGGCCGACAGGTGGGGCTCGGCAGTCTCCTGCTGAGGCCTCCCTCTTCCCCTCTCTCTTGCCGTTCCTGTCTCACTCTCTCCCTACCTGGCATCTCCCCCTGCTATCTTCATCCTTCGCCCCTCTCCTTGGTCTCCATCAGCAAACCCGCATTAAAGCCTGTCCTGTGGGGAGCCCCAGTGTCGGCGGGGGAAAGACACAGACCTGTCCCAGTGGCATCTCCGCCCATCAGGGAGCTCACATCCTAACCTGAATCCTGACATCAGTCTGGAGCAACGAAACCTCCTGAAAGGACTGCTGAGGAGAGACAGGCCATCCTACAAGAAGTGGGGCAGGGCCAGGCGCTGTGGGAGGTGGGCGGATCACAAGGTCAGGAGTTCAAGACCAGCCTGACCAACATGGTGAAACCCCGTCTCTACTAAAAGTACAAAAATTGGCCGGGTGCGGTGGCTCACGCCTATAATCCCAGTACTTTGGGAGGCCGAGGCGGGTGGATCACGAGGTCAAGAGATGGAGGGCATTCTGGTCAACATGGTGAAACCCCGTCTCTACTAAAAATACAAAAATTAGCTGGGCATGGTGGTGTGCGCCTGTAGTCCCAGCTACTCAGGAGGCTGAGGCAGGAGGATTGCTTGAACCCAGAAGGCGGAGGTTGCGGTGAGCCAAGATCGTGCCATTGTACTCCAGTATGGGTAACAACAGCAAAACTCCGTCTCAAAAAAATAAAGAAATAAATAAAAATACAAAAATTATCCAGGTGTGGTGGCTCATGCCTGTAATCCCAGTACTTTGGGAAGCTGAAGCGGGTGGATCACGAGGTCAGGAGATGGAGACCATCCTGGTCAACATGGTGAAACCCTGTCTCTACTGAAAATACAAAAATTAGCTGGATATGGTGGTGCATGCCTGTAATTCCAGCTACTCAGGAGGCTAAGGCAGGAGAATCGCTTAAACCAGGGAGCTGGAGATTGCAGTGAGCTTAGATGATACCACTGCACTCCAGCCTAGTAATGGACTCCATCTCAAAAAAAAAAAGAAAAAGAAAAAATGATTTAAACATTTTAAAAATAGGAATGTTAGCCAAATATAATAAAATAAAATTAAGTAACAAAATAAAATAAAATCAGAGTTGAAGGAGGATCTAAGTGGGATTCCTTCTTCCCTTCTCATTTCTCACCTTTCTTTTTTCTTTCTCTCTTCCGTCCCCCTCCTCTCTTTCTTCAGGAAGCTACCTCTCCTGTTTTCTCCAGCCTACAGTGACCTTTCTCTGAACTCATTAATTCATTTGCTTGTTATTTATTTATTTATTTTTGAGACAGAGTCTTACTCTGTCACTCAGGCTGGAGTGCAGTGATGTGATCAAGGCTCACTGCAGCCTCCACCTTCCAGGCTCAAGTGATCCTTCCACCTCAGCCTCCTGAGTAGCTGGGACTACAGGTGTGCACCACCGTTCCCAGCTAATTTTTGTGTTTTTTTGTAGAGATGAGGTTTCACAATGTTGCCCAAACTGGTCTCAAACTCCTGGGTTCAGGAGATCCGCTCACCTCTACCTCCCAAAGTGCTGGGATGACAGGTATGAGCCACTGCACCCAGACATTCATTCACCAATGTGCTCTTGGGTGAAAACAAAAATTTAAGCAGCCTCTAGTTTCTGCTGTCTATGGGGGAGACAGATATGGAGGAGACACAATCCTCAGTAATGTCATTATTATTCATCTAAGTGCCATGAAGGAGAAGTGGCATGGCAGCGTAGAAAAGGGACCTGACCTAGCCTGGAGGGCCAGAAAGGGTTTTCTGAGAAAGTGACTTTTTTATTTCCATTTAATTCTTCTTCTTCTTCTTCTTTTTTTTTTTTTTTTTTAGAGAAAGAGGGAAGGGGAGGGGAGGGGCTGTTTCCATTTAATTCTTCAAAAACTGTCCTTTCTCATGAAGAAACTCAAACATAAACAAACATAGAATACCCCATGTATGCATCATCCAGCTCCATATTCATCAACTTGGCCAATCCTACCTCATTCTATCCCATCCACTTCCCCACTTGACCATGTCAAAAAGCAAAATGTCAACAAATTGAGTTTCAAAACTCTAATGGACTTTTCTTAGCAATTCGTGAATTGGTCAGCATCCCATATACAAAACAGAAAGGTGCTCTAATGAGCTGAGCAGAGAAGTTGGGCTTTTTTTTTTTTGGAGTAGTCTCGCTCTGTCGCCCAGGCTGGAGTGCAGTGGTGTGATCTCAGCTCACTGCAAGCTCTGCCTCCCAGATTCAAGTGATTCTCCTGCCTCAGCCTCCTGAGTAGCTGGGATTACAGCTGTGCGTCATCACACCTGGCTAATATTTGTATTTTTAGTAGAGATGGAGTTTCATCATATTGGTCAGGCTGGTCTTGAACTCCTGACCTCCTGATTTGCCTGACTCAGTTCCCAAAGTACTGGGATTACAGGCTTGAGCCACCATGCCTGGCAAGGCTTATTTTTTTTTTTTTTTTTTTTTTTTTGAGATGGAGTTTTGCTCTTATTGCCCAGACTAGAGTGCAATGATGTGATCTTGGCTCACTGCAACCTCCACCTTCTGGGTTCAAGCAATTCTCCTGCCTGTCTCCCGAGTAGCTGAGATTACAGGCGTGCACCACCATGCCTGGCTAATTTTTATATTATTAGTAGAGATAGAGTTTTACCATGTTGGCTAGGTTGGTCCTGACCTCAGGTGATCTGCCCACCTTGGCCTCCCAAAGTGCTGGGATTACAGATATGAGCCACCGTGCCCGTCCAGAAGCCAGGTTTTATAGGCAGAAAAATGTTGAAGAATCCAGAAACAGGGAACGAAAAGCGGATTGGTTATTTCAAAGTTATACTCCTTGCAGGGTTAAAGCCCAGGAGACCTCCTTATCATGCTGTTTCAGGTTGGCTGGCCATTTTAGCTAGCTGCTGTGAACCTCCCATTTTTTTTGGAAAACTGGCCCATTTCTTGACCTCGTGATCCACCTGCCTCGGCCTCCCAAAGTGCAGGGATTATAGGCTTGAGCCACCGCACCGGGCCAGAAAACTGGCCCATTTCCAAGTTTAATTTGATTATGTGGCCCCTCAGAATGAGTGACTCCAAATCCCAGGTTTGGTCTGATCTGTTAGGGCCTAGCCCCGAAGTTCAGTACAAAACAATGACTTCTCATAAATTTTATTTAGCAATGCTCACCCCATTTCTTTTTCTTTGAGACAAGGTCTTGCTATGTTGCCCAGACTGGTCTCAAACTCCTGGGATCAAGCAATCTTTCTGCCTCAGCTACCCAACTAACTGGGATTACGGGTGTAAGCAACTGCACCCAGCTCCACCCAATTATTTTGAACCAAATCTCAGACATTATATTTCATCTGTAAATACTTCAATATAAATCTTGAAAAAATAAGGACTTTAAGGCCAGGCATGGTGGCTCATGCCTGTAATCCCAGCACTTTGGGAGGCTGAGGCAGACAGATGGATTACTTGAGGTCAAGAGTTTGAAACCAGCCTGGCCAACATGGTGAAGCCCATCTCTATTAAAAAAAAAAAAAAAAAATTAGCCAGGTGTGGTGCTCTTGGACCTGGGAGGCAGAGGTTGCAGTGAGCCAAGATTGTGCTACTGCACTCCAGCCTGGGCAACAGAGTAAGACTCTGTCTCAAAAAAAAAAGACCCACAAGGTCCTTGCTGAAGTCTTGCAGTCTCAGCTATTTGGGAGGTGGAAGTATTGCTTGAACCCAGGAGTTGGAGGCTGCAGTGAACTATGATCCTGCCACTGCACTTCAGCCTGGGCAATAGAGTGAGACCCCCCATCTCTAATAAAATAGAGATAAAAATAAAAATAAATAATACATATAAGAAAAAAGCTCACTATGGAGACGGAGTGAAATTCCACAGGGGCCACACAATGAGTGGTGTGTGAATGTGCTCAGCCCATGTCTTTCCTCCCCTGCTCTTCCTCATCCCCTG